GGTACTCCTCCATCAGAAGACAAGACAGCTGAATCTTCATTGGAGGTGGGATGAAGTCCTCCTTCAGAAGACCCGGCAGCTGAAACTTCATAAGAGCAGGGAGGTGGTCCTTCATCAGAAGACCAGGCAGCTGGATCTTCATAGGAGCAGGGAGGTAGTCCTCCATCAGAAGACAAGACAGCTGGATCTTCTAATGAGGTGGGATGAAGTCCTCCTTCAGAAGACCCGGTGACTAGATCTTTATAGGAGCAGGTAGGTGGTCCTTCATCAGAAGACCCGGAAGCTGAATCTTCATAAGAGCAGGGAGGTGGTCCTTCATCAGAAGACCAAGCAGCAGGATTTTCATAGGAGCAGGGAGGTAGTCCATCAGAAGACCAGGCAGCTGGATCTTCATAGGAGCAGGGAGGTACTCCTCCATCAGAAGACAAGGCAGCTGAATCTTCATTGGAGGTGGGATGAAGTCCTCCTTCAGAAGACCCGGTAGCTGAAACTTCATAAGAGCAGGGAGGTACTCCTTCATCAGAAGACAAGGCAGCTGAATCTTCATATGAGGTGGGATGAAGTCCTCCTTCAGAAGACCTGGTGACTAGATCTTTATAGGTGCAGGGAGGTAGTCCTCCTTCAGAAGACCTGGTGACTAGATCTTTATAGGTGCAGGGAGGTTGTCCTTCATCAGAAGACCTGGCAGCTGAATCTTCATATGAGGTGGGATGAAGTCCTTCTTCAGAAGACCCGGTGACTGGATCTTTATAAGAGCAGGGAGGTGGTCCTTCATCAGAAGACCAGGCAGCTGGATTTTCATAGGTGCAGGGATTTAGTCCTTCATCAGAAGACCTGGCAGCTGAATCTTCATGAGAGCAGGGAGGTGGTTCTCCCTCAGAAAACCCAGCAGCTGGATTTTCATGGGAGCAGAGGGGTGGTCCTTCATCAGAAGACCAGGCAGCTGGATCTTCATAGGAACAAGAAGGCAGTCCTGTATCAGAAGACCAGGCAACAGGATCTCCATAGGAGCAGAGAGATAGTCCTCCATCAGAAGACCAGGCAGCTGGATCTTCATATGAGGTGGGATGAAGTCCTCTTTCAGAAGACCCAGTGACTGGATCTTTATAGGAGCAGGGAGGTGGTCCTTCATCAGAAGACCAGGCAGCTGGATCTTCATAGGAGCAGGGAGGCAGTACTCCATCAGAAGACCAGGCAACAAGATCTTCATAGGAGTAGGGAGGCAGTACTCCATCAGAAGACCAGGCAGCTGGATCTTCATAGGAGCAGGGAGGCAGTACTCCATCAGAAGACCAGGCAACAAGATCTTCATAGGAGCAGGGAGGCAGTACTCCATCAGAAGACCAGGCAGCTGGATCTTCATACAAGCAAGGAGGTAGTCCTTCAGAAAACCAGGCAGCTGGATATTCATAAGAGTAGGGAGGCAGTACTCCATCAGAAGACCAGGCAGCAGGATCTTCATAGGAGCAAGGAGGTAGTCCTTCAGAAAACCAGGCAGCTGGATATTCATAGGAGCAGGGAGGCAGTACTCCATCAGAAGACCAGGCAGCTGGATCTTCATATGAGCAGGGAGGCAGTACTCCATCAGAAGACCAGGCAACAAGATCTTCATAGGAGCAGGGAGGCAGTACTCCATCAGAAGACCAGGCAGCTGGATCTTCATAGGAGCAGGGAGGCAGTACTCCATCAGAAGACCAGGCAACAAGATCTTCATAGGAGCAGGGAGGCAGTACTCCATCATCAGAAGACCAGGCAACAAGATCTTCATTGGAGCAGGGAGGCAGTACTCCATCAGAAGACCAGGCAGCTGAATCTTCATATGAGGTGGGATGAAGTCCTCCTTCAGAAGACCCGGTGACTGGATCTTTATAAGAGCAGGGAGGTGGTCCTTCATCAGAAGACCAGGCAGCTGGATTTTCATAGGTGCAGGGATTTAGTCCTTCATCAGAAGACCTGGCAGCTGAATCTTCATGAGAGCAGGGAGGTGGTTCTCCCTCAGAAAACCCAGCAGCTGGATTTTCATAGGAACAAGAAGGCAGTCCTGTATCAGAAGACCAGGCAGCAGGATCTCCATAGGAGCAGAGAGATAGTCCTCCATCAGAAGACAAGACAGCTGGATCTTCATAGGAGGTGGGATGAAGTCCTCCTTCAGAAGACCTGGTGACAGGATATTTATAGGAGCAGGGAGGTGGTCCTACATCAGAAGACCAGGCATCTGGATCTTCATAGGAGCAGGGAGGCAGTACTCCATCAGAAGACGAGGCAACAAGATCTTCATAGGAGCAAGGAGGCAGTACTCCATCAGAAGACCAGGCAGCTGGATCTTCATAGGAGCAGGGAGGCAGTACTCCATCAGAAGACCAGGCAACTGGATTTTCATAGGAGTAGGGAAGCAGTACAGCTTCAGAAAACCAGGCAGCTGAATCTTCACAGGAGTAGAGAGGCAGTCCTCCATCATACGACAAGGCAGCTGGATCTTCATATGAGTAGGGAGGGAGTACTCCATCAAAAGACCAGGCAGCTGGATCTTCATAGGAGTAGGGAGGCAGTACTCCTTCAGAAGACCAGGCACCAGGATCTTCATAGGAGCAGGGAGGTAGTCCTTCATCAAAAGACCAGGTAGCTGGATATTCATAGGAGTAGGGAGGCAGTACTCCATCAGAAGACCAGACAGCTGGATCTTCATATGAGCATGGAGGTAGTCCTCCTTCAGAAAACCAGGCAGCTGGATATTCATAGGAGTAGGGAGGCAGTACTCCATCAGAAGACCAGACAGCAGGTTCTTCATAGAAGAGAGGTAGTCCTCCATCAGAAAACCAGACAGCTGGATTTTCATAGGAGCAGGGAGGCAGTCCTTCATCAGAAGACCAGGCAGTAGGATCTTTATAGGAGCAAGGAGAAAGTTCTCCATCAGAAGACCAGGCAGCTGGATCTTCATAAGAGCAAGGAGGTAGTCCTTCTGAAAACCAGGTAGCTGAATATTCATAGGAGTAGGGAGGCAGTACTCCATCAGAAAACCAGGCAGCTGGATCTTCATAGGAGCAGAGAGGCAGTACTCCATCAGAAGACCAGTCAGTAGGATCTTCATAGGAGCAAGGAGGCAGTCCTCCATCATAAGACAAGGCAGCTGGATCTTCATAGGAGTATGGAGGCAGTACTCCATCAGAAGACCAGGCAGCAGGATCTTCATACAAGCAAGGAGGTAGTCCTTCAGAAAACCAGGCAGCTGGATATTCATAAGAGTAGGGAGGCAGTACTCCATCAGAAGACCAGGCAGCAGGATCTTCATAGGAGCAAGGAGGTAGTCCTTCAGAAAACCAGGCAGATGTATATTCATAGGACTGGGGAGGCATGACTCCATCAGAAGACCAGACAGCAGGTTCTTCATAGGAGCAGAGAGGTAGTCCTCCTTCAGAAAACCTGACAGCTGGATTTTCATAGGAGCAGGGAGGCAGTACTCCATCAGAAGACCAGTCAGTAGGATCTTTATAGGAGCAAGGACGCATTCCTCCATCATAAGACAAGGCAGCCGAATATTCATAAGAGTAGGGAGGCAGTACTCCATCAGAAGACCAGGCAGCAGGATCTTCATAGGAGCAAGGAGGTAGTCCTTCAGAAAACCAGGCAGCTGGATCTTCATAGGAGTAGGGAGGCAGTACTCCATCAGAAGACCAGTCAGTAGGATCTTTATAGGAGCAAAGACGAATTCCTCCATCATAAGACAAGGCAGCTGGATCTTCATAGGAGTAGGGAGGCAGTCCTCCTTCAGAAAACCAGACAGCTGGATTTTCATAGGAGCAAGGAGGTAGTCCTTCTGAAAACCAGGCAGCTGAATATTCATAAGAGTAGGGAGGCAGTATTCCATCAGAAGACCAGGCAGCTGGATCTTCATAGGAGCAAGGAGGTAGTCCTTCAGAAAACCAGGCAGCTGGATATTCATAGGAGTAGGGAGGCAGTACTCCATCAGAAGACCAGGCAGCAGGATCTTCATAGGAGCAAGGAGGTAGTCCTCCAGAAAACCAGGCAGCTGGATCTTCACAGGAGTAGAGAAAAAGTCCTTCATTAAAAGACCAGGCAGCTGGATCTTCATAGGAGTAGAGAGGCAGTACTCCATCAGAAGACCAGTCAGTAGGATCTTTATAGGAGTAAGGAGGAAGTACTCCATCAAAAGACCAGGCAGCTGGATCTTCACAGGAGTAGGGAGGCAGTACTCCATCAGAAAACCAGGCAGCTGGATCTTCATAGGAGCAGTTATTTAGTCCTTCATCAGAAGACCCGGAAGCTGAATCTTCATAAGAGCAGGGAGGTGGTCCTTCATCAGAAGACCAAGCAGCAGGATTTTCATAGGAGCAGAGAGGAAGTACTTCATCAAAAGACCAGGCAGCTGGATCTTCACAGGAGTAGGGAGGTAGTCCTCCTTCAGAAGTCCAGGCAGCTGGATCTTCATAGGAGCAGGGAGGTAGTCCTTCAGAAAACCAGGCAGCTGAATATTCATAAGAGTAGGGAGGTAGTCCTCCTTCAGAAGTCCACGCAGCTGGATCTTCATAGGAGCAGGGAGGTAGTCCTTCAGAAAACCAGGCAGCTGGATATTCATAGGAGCAGGGAGGTAGTCCTTCAGAAGACCAGGCAGCTTGATCTTCACAGGAGCAGGGAGGTAGTCCTTCAGAAGACCAGGCAGCTTGATCTTCATCATAGGAGTAATTGACTGGAACTCCATCAGATGACCCTGTGGTGGGACCATCGTCATAGGAGACAGTGGCTTTGGTTCCATCAAATGACCTGGTGGGAGGAGCATTGTCACTGGAAGCAGAGGGTAGACCTCTGACGTAGAACTCAGCAGCTGACTCTCTGTCAGTTTTGGAAGCTGCAGGGGTGTTAACCCTGTCTGCTGAGTCCTCTATTGGGCAGACATCCATCATTGTTTTGGAGGCGGTTAGACTGGAGAAAGTTTGACAATCAATCAGTAAATCAGCCAGTCAGTCATAAAAGCCATCAGTCAATGCAACATGATGTGTTTTCTACTACCAGTGTGAACAGAATCACGATCACTTACTAGGCTGTGCTGCCAGAGTGCTCGATCAGGTGGGACATTGTGACGAACGGGTGCTCCAGAGCTTGATGGGGAGAGATTCTCTGATCCCCGTCAAGATGCATCAGCCGTTTCATGAGGTCCACAAAAGCCCTCCTGTCCTCAAATTCAGCAGCATCCCATTCAGGATAGATCTGGATTTGGAAACAAATTCATGTCAATTGATCCAGCCGCCTCCTACATCTGAGAGACATATGAATAACTAGTACTGATCCAGTCGTCACTCATAAAACACAGTACAGAGCACCTACATTCACCAGGTCATCCAGAGAGCTGGGCAGGTCAATGAAGCTGTTACGCTCCTCTGGTTTCACGCTGTTCGCAGCTGTATATTCTTCAGGCGTCTAAAGGAACAAAATAGCCTATATATGAGAACCATTTTAAAGGATTATGAAAAATGATTTATCCAACTCAAACAAAGAAGAAAATGGTTGCTACCATAAGCCTCCAAGTTGGACCTTCAGAAGCCTCCTCCTCACTGAAGAAGTACTGGGTATATTTGCCAGCACAGAGCAGGTGGTCCTCTGGCTGACCCAGAACCTCAACCATGCACTTCATCTGCAAACAAAATATACAGAATCACATCATTCTGCATTAAGTCTTTACTTGGTTCTGAATATTTGTCTGAGGAAGCTGACCTACCATCTGATAGTCACAGTCGACAGGGAAGAGGTTTTCAGCAAGGTAGAGGAAGGCCAGGATGCAGCCAACTCCCCAAACATCTATAGCCTCTGTGAAGGGCAGGCCTAGGGCAATTTCTGGTGCCCTGAGGATGGAAGACAGGAGCCAAAGATGAGAAATCTGTTGGCAAGCTTTGAGAACCAAGAGAACGACGTGGATGTTAAGAAAAATGGGGAGCACTGCTGAGCAACCAATGGAGTAGGACGAGTGTTTAGGGGCTGCTGCAGATTTTCTGAACTGAATTTCTCCCTATGTGAGAGAGATTCTGAATGAGCAGAAAGTTTTGATCATGAGCTGAAAAACTGCTGAAACACAGAAGCTATTAAAGTCAAAGAGTTTCTAACTGAATTAAAATTATTTCATTTCTCATTGAGGAGAGAAAAGGTCATATTTAAAGAGGTTACTTCCCCAAACAAGGGCAAAGACAAAAGAGGAGGAAAGACTAAATCACACATGTGTACTGACTCAGATGACATTACATGAAAAAATATTTGAATACACATTTAATATGTATTCAAATATTAGAATATAATATATATATTTGTTTTGTTTTGTTCTACAACAACTTTATGTTGTATAATGACAAATAACCTACCTTGTAACCTTGTAAAGGTTTATCTACAGGAGAAATATCTAAAAGCAACACAGAGTGCCTGACAGCTTTACTGCATTATATTCCATTATATTTGAAATACAAATATACAATAAGCTATACATGTGGTAAATCTCTGTTTATATTATTATTATCATAGTTTCAGCTGACACAGCCATATACTCTTTACAGTATTTCAGTTTTGTACATATATTTGACCAATACTTTGATTAATGTAGTCCTCAAGATTGAATTTGATAGATGAAGTTTATTTGTTCACACATAATTCCGATTTTATGATTTAGCGCTATGCAGTCATTTCTTCAATGTTTGATTTTACTTTTCTCTAATCATTCAAGCATTGAAGGGCATTTTTTTCTCTTCTTGTCTTGTTTTAAGTTAAAAGGAGGGACATCACTGTCACAGTCTAATTTGAAAGATTTAAAAAACTGTATTGACCTTTTGTGCTTTTTAGTCATATTGAGTAATTAAATATTTTTGCACGCGTGGCCTGGTTGAGTCTACAACACTGAATTAGGAAATTCCTCCATCTGGGTCACAATAAGGTTAATGACCAAGAACTTCTTTGAAATTGCAATTGAAAAATGTTGTCCCCCTCACCATAATTCCTGCAACTACTACTACTACTACTACTACAGCATGTTATAGTTAAGTCTTCTGTGTTAACTATTAACTAAATTATACTAAACTATGCTAAACCACTGAATCTTTGTGTTTTTCTCAATCTTTTTGTGAAATTCATTTTGACCTGCTTAGCTGCTCCTTTGCCGGCACTCATCTGGCCGTCATGCGTCGTCTGTGATTTGACGTAACATCATGATGCCACCACAAGCGTACAACGCAATGACCCGAATGACAGAGGCCTTAGCTTTCTACTGCAAAAAGAACTGATTGATTTAAACAGGATCATGCCAACAGTGATCTCCTGTGGCCAGTGCGAGGCCGTTTCACACATTTGTTAATTTTTGGAGGTGATCTGAATTGTGTGTTCGACACAGTGTTGGACCGATCTAGTATCCCTTGTAGGCATTGTGTTATCCCTCAGTCAAAAGGTTTTCATTTTTCTTCCAGGTACATCAGTTGTACTCAAGAATTGATTACTTTTTTATAGATATTAGTAGCCTATCAATCATTGTGTTGTTTCCACTGATTATTCAGCCATTCTAGTTTCTGATCATGCTCCATTATTTCTCGATGTCCAACTATCCATACATAAATATATCCACCGCTTTGGAGACTTAATTCCTTAATGTTGGCAGATAAAAAAATTGTTTCTCTCTTTTAATCAGAACATGATGTGTACAGAATGAGGCTACATCATATTCACTGCTTTGGAAGTCACTGAAAGCATTTCTCAGGGGACAGATTATCTCATACTCTTCCTCCAATAAAAAACACAATGCCAGGCTGTGAGAACTTTTGTCATCTATTAGTAGCCTTGAACCTTGTGTGTGCATCTAACCCTTTCCCAGAAATATTTAAGAAGTGTCTTGGTCTCCATACAGAGTTCGATCTAATTTCATCCAAAAGCGCTGAGAGTTTGCAATTACTAACTTGTGGTCCTATTTATGAGCACGACGATAAAGCAAATCGGTTATTGGTACACCAGTTAAAACGGCAATCCACCTCACGCCTCCTACCCCAAATTAAGAATTATTCTAGTATATCTTTCACAGAACCTATGGAAATTAATACATCATACTTTGTACAAAACAGATTTTCCAACAGATAAAAATGAAAATCCTACTATTGATCTAGTGATCGCGTGAAAGATCACTAGATCACATCTGAAAGATTTGGATGCTCCTCTTTCCCTGGAAGAATTACTGCTTTCTACCAAAGCAATGCAGTCAAATAAAGCCCCTGGTCCAGATGGATTTACAGTAGGGTTTTTTTAAAAGAAATTCTGTGATAAATTGGCACCTTTACTTTTGCAGATGTACAATGAATCATTGGAAAATGGTTTGCTACTTCCAACACTCACTCAAGCAGCTCTTCTCTTAAAGCCTGATAAGGTTCCCACCTCCTGTGCTCTTAGAGACCTCTGTCCTTTCTAAATGTTGATGTAAAGGTACTGGATATATTTTTTCTCGCCACAAAAACAGTTACTTCCTGTCTGCAGCCTCATCAACAAGGCCCGGGTCCCCACTGACACTCCCCCCTTGCAAATAATGCAGATGTCTCTGCACATGTAAATATTATTTCATTTGATATCATGCACAAACATGGCACATAGCACATTTTTGTTGTTAATTGTTAATCTTTGTTGTTGTATATTTTTATATTGTCAATTTATATATTTATGTACACAATACTCTCTTCCGTTGCGTTGCGTTTCGTTACGTCTGCACAACACAAACCCAGAATAATGAACATGTAAATATCTGCGATGTTGTTCTTTCTCTGCAAATAGTTGTATCATTTTTCTCTATTCTTTTTATTATTCTTATATAACTTGCATTGTCTATTCCATATTTATATATTTCTACATTTATTTATGTCAACTGTATGTTTGTCTACGTTTATCACTAAATTCCTCGTATGTGTAAAATATTACTTGGCATAAAGCTCATTCTGATTCTGATTTAACTCTTTTCTTCTCTTATGTTCTTTTATCTGTATAAAATCTAAATCTTGTTAATGATGCCTATTTTATGGAACTTGATTCAGTTTTCCAAAAAAAAGGAGAACGACAAAAGCTCCGTAAACAGATGTGCAGGATGAACCCACCTGTATCCGACCGGCTGAAGGTCCATCCCGGGCTGGACTTTGGTGGCTGGAATAGCTTCGCCAAAGTCTATTAATTTTACCCTCATAGGCTGGGCCTGCTTGTTGACAAACAAAATGTTTTCTGGTTTGATATCTGTATGCAGGATACCGAGACTCTTCAGGGCATCTAAGGCCACCAACAGCTGCAAGGACAAAACAAGAAGGGCACATTTGGGATTTAGCTTCCCATGTGCTGCTGTTTATTAGGTCTATTGGTTCCATATCAAAATAATACACACCTGTTTTGAGATCGGTCGGATCTCTTTCAGAGACAGTGGTTTCCAGTCTCGTTCTTGGAGCAGCTCATAGAGATTCCTGTCCAGCATCTCAAATGCTAGACAGGTCTGTCCCATGTGTTCAAACCGCTCAAAGAACTTCACCACGTTAATGTGGTCTGGATTCAGGACACTGATGATTTCTAACATGGACACCTGGGGAGAAAGGACATGTCATAAGTTAACATACACTGATCCAGCAGACAACATCTAAGCAAGGGAGTCTTACGACTCAAAAAGAGTCCAACATCTACCTCTTTCTCAGTGTCCTGGATAAAATCGGTGTCACTCTTGAGGATCTTAACAGCAACTCTCTCGTTTGTTGCCAGATTCTGGCACTTGGCTACTTTACCAAAGCAGCCTTCACCAATAAACTCCAGAATGGAGTAACCAGAAGAGCTGCCAAACAGAGTTTGACCTGCCTGGATCTCAGGTGCTGTCAGCGGGACTGTGGGGAGAGATGGTGAACATGGAGAGCAAATATATGAAGTCAGGGAATTTAGTCTGTGAAGCCACATCATGAACAAACACACAGCTGAACCACGAATCATGTCCTTCACTGTTTGTTTGTCATTCGAGGACCATGTGAGGGAGAAAAATGTACCAAATACTGATGATTCGCCTACCTTTTCAATGATTTTATTTATTTATATAAGAATGCAAATGTAATAGGTCTGATAAGAGAGGATGAGAATTGTATAGTATGGTATATTCTTAACATTAACTTTTAAAGAATCCTCTCTTCTACAGATAGCTTGTACAGATTGTGACACTTTAGAGCTCTTAGTTGGTGTTTTCATAGGAGATATATTCAGCATCATGTAAAATTGTGTTGAGTCTTACCTGATGCACCAGACGTATCTGTGTTTGACCACGATGACATTTTTCAGTCTCAGATCTTCTCAGTTTAGGATTTCCAAGGTTGAGAATGAAACTTCAAGCTTGAATGTTTGTTTTTTTAATTCAGAACTGTCTCCTTCAAATAACTCAATAACTATGTGTTTGTCTCTCTCAGTGCTAATGGTGAAATGACCACAATCCATCAAACATCCACACTGACCCTTCTCATGACACCAGTGGCATCATAATTTGTAGAACTCACTGCTGAGTTCAGTTCTATTCTTTTTAGAACCTACTGACACATTCAAATACAGCAGCTACAGGCTGAAAAACATGTTTTTATTCAAACTGTCTACTAAACTGCTCCTCATAGAGTGAAGAAAAATGTTTCCATGCACTTCAGTAGTTTTTTTACAGACTATTTAGAGCAACATTTCCTCAGACCTATACAACTAAAAAGGTTTTAAATGACATATATGAAGTCACGTCAGTCATAACCTGCTTTTAGAGATGTTTTGTGTTTTAACATTTTTGTTTTACAGCAATGTTTTCATTTTCCTGATCATTAATAAAACCACTCTCCTAACAAGTTTCTGTAAATGATGGTGGTGTGGTGGAAGTGTATTTACTCTTTGTACAAAGTTTAAATATTGGTACTTTACTTATGTTTTTTGTTTTCATGCCACTGTTCCACCACATTTCAGAGGCAAATATTGTACTTTTCACTCCACTGCATTAATTTTATAGCTACAGTTACAAGTTACAAATTCAGACATTACATACACTGAAAGAGTTCATTAAATATGATTATTATTCAACAAAACACTACATACACATTTAGAGGTGAAACAATTAGTCAATGAATTGATTAGTTGATATAATTGTTTAATTTAATTGGGCAGTGTTTTAATTTTCTGTTCAAAAATGCCAAACATTTCACGGTCCCAGCTTCTGGGAGGATTAGCTGCTTTTCCTTGTATGTAATTAAATGTTTTAATTTAATTTTCTTATTGATTGTTGGTTTTGTCCAACTCTTGGTTAGACAAGATACAGCATGTTAATTAGTGAGCTTTAGAGGTGCTGGAAGATTCCAGGCAAATGGTAAGCTAAGCTAACTACGTCCTGATTCCAGTACCATGCTGAACACACAGACATGAGGCTGAAATCCATCTTCAGCTCTCAGAAAGAAACCTCAAGAAAGGCAGTGGTCTGAGTGCCATGTTCCCATGTGACCGTTATTGGAAAGGTTAGTGCCAGGTGGACTGGGTAAAGGTTTGGGATCACATAGAGGTCCCAGGTTGGATTTCTAAAAAGAACATGGTGCCAGTAGACCACCCGGTAGCTCAGCGTTTATTCCTAAAATGGTTTTATGTTGACTGGATGTGCTCATCCCCCACTTCCTGTACACAAACCAGCCCACCGGCTCTGAACTTCAAGAGCAGTTGTGGTATCCCAGAGCTGCGAGGCCTTCCCCTCCTCAACTAATTGAGATGTCTGCAAATTCTGATAGAGTCACATCTTCCCCCAAACAACTCATGGGCTCCTTGAGCGAAATCCTATAAGTGTATTACAGCAACCAAGCAGCCTTTTAAGTTTCAGACTAACAGAGCCGCTGCACTCTAGGCATTTTTTATTTTTATTTTCATAGCAGCCAGCCGCAGACTCTCACAGCAACTGGCCCTGTAAAACTCTCTGGTATCCCTGAAATAAGCTCTGCAGGGAAAGACAGAAGGAAGAGAGAGAGACGGAGGGAGGGAGGGAGGAAAATTCTGACAAAAAAGGATATAAAGGGAGTTAGCTTCACAGGCAAATGGCTTAGCAAAGCTGACCTTATACGTGCTACTGACGCTGCTCTCTCAGACTGTGCACTGTCTGCAATAACATCAGTTTCAAATGTATTTTCTTTAACCCCTCTGTGGTAAATGTGAAGACTTCGGCACATTTAGTGGTAGGAAGAAAAAAAGACACTTGCATCTCAATGAGATGAATGATACAAAAGCATCTTAGACTCCATTCATTTTCACTGGTATTGTTTCTTTTGTGTGAACAAATAATCAAGCAATAATCACATAAAAGTTCTAGACATAGTGGCTTTATTTTATGCAACTGCTCCTAGAGGAGTTCATTTGGATTTCCCTGCGAATGTGCAAGCAGCTTATTACAACCCATAATAGTAATTATGACGGGATCAAAGGAAGACATCAGGAGCTGGTTGCACCACAGGGCTTAAGATAAGTAGGTTAATGCTGTTAATAGTGCAATGTTTTTATGCAAATGCAAACTCAATAAGTGTCTGTTGCAGATCATCTAGCCTCCTCCTCTGTTTCACCGGCGGTGCACCGCTGCTGCCTTCATGAGGACTTTGTGAAGTAACTGGGGCCTCCATCGAGTTGAAAATACAGAGAGTCTGTCATGGGCCTACTGTTATCTGACAACTACTAAAACTGTTATTGTAGACTACTCTAATAAATAGGCTACACACCTTCACAATTCACACTCTCGCTCGAGTGGTCGACATCCATCTCTGGAGAGACAGCAGTTTCTTCCAGGTCGGTCCGCCACTTTCCGCACCGACCAAATCAATAAAAGCCGGGGAATCCTCTCCGAAGAATCCACAATTATGATACTGTACTAACGAAAACGGACGTTTTAGGGGGGAGGACCCCTGACCCACTTCATTTAAGTTTTGTAACTCCCTTCTGCTACATAGCAGACAATATACATTAATAAAGAATCAGTTATTAAAAATGGTAAGCAGAAATAAACACAGATGATCCAGTGGATAGCACTGTGGCCTCACAGCAAGAAGTCGTGGGTTCAAACCCCGGTTGTCCCGGCCTTTCTGTGTGGAGTTTGCATGTTCTCCCCGTGTCTGCGTGGGTTTCCTCCGGGTGCTCCGGTTTCCCCACCATCAAAAACATGTTAGGTGCTCCAGTCAGTGCCACTGACTAGACACTGATATATATACACATCTGGAGTTGGTCCCTGGGCGCTGCACAGCGGCTGCCCACTGCTCCCTTGAGGGATGGGTTAAATGCAGAGAATGAATTTCACAACATGTATGTGACAATAAAGGTTTCTTCCATCTTCCAAACTATCATCACTGGAGCAGTGCTGAGGATGAATTAGAGTTTAAGAGTCTGATAGCGCCTGATAAGTGTCCACGTTGTTCCACATTAGCTGTGGCTAATGACACCTAGCATCCGGATTGCTTGCTGCTGGCCGACCTTCGTCGCTCAGAGCAGACAGCTGGTAAGCTTTGGGTCGGGACTGTGTGTTAAAACCTTGTTGCTCCTTTTGTGGAAGTTGTTGAAAAAACACTGTCTGTGCCGAATCAGCCGAATCAGCCACACCAAGCACGCATTCCTCACCCTGTGTGAGTCGGCTGCCGTTAGTCAGGCGGCCAACCTGCAGCTTGAGCTCAAAGCAACTCAATACAGTACACTCTCTGTTCACGTTCAGAGAATTGTGAATAAGCCCACGGCAGTGGATGCTTCAAGACCGCCGGGGGTGGCCTGCTCATGTTCTAACCCCCCTGTGCAGCCGTGGCATTCCCCTCTCTGGGGGAGCGGTACGAAGGCAGACCCCCGAGAGCGGCCACGGTGCCTCATGCAGACCCTCCCACCGCACACAGGAGAGTGCTCCAACTCTCCTTAACTGTGTGAGGAAGGCTGTGTTGGTGCGGTTCGCCCCCCAAGCGGCAGTGCACAGCCGGCCCCACTGCGGCAAGTGTCAGCTCGTCCCCTTCGGTGGCAGCGCCTCGCAGGGAGGCGCACCCTCCTGCCTGGCAACGCATGATGGTGCCCATGATCCTTTTTACGGGACTCTCCTGACCAGCGGCTCACGAAGACTGTCTACATGCACAGCGGCCTCCTGGCCTTCCACATGTTCATTTGTCTTTCTTCTTTTTTTTTAAAGTGATTTTCACAGTTTTTTTATTTTTATGTATTTATTTATTTTTAACCCTGTCCTGCCCAGCAGCCTGGTATAGAGTATGATGAGCTGGATACCATATTGTGCCAGACAGATTTTACTTTAACAAGAGAGTATTAAAATACTCCTTTGTCTGTTTTATTATTTATTTAATTATGTATTGATTTGTCACCGGGCCGGACAGGGGGGCAGACACGGGGATGGGGGGGCACAAACAGACAGCACAGAGAAAGGACAACACCTGTAAGAGAAGAGGGATGGAAGGTGGGGACAACAGGGAAAAGCTGTGGAACGAAACCTGCAACAGAACAGAGAGGGGGGCTTGGGGAGGAGAAAAACAACAACAAACAAACACAAACAAACAAAAACAAACTAACAAAATAATAATAATAGTAAAAGACAACCAGCCGAACAGCAGCAATAAACAGCTGACATATTAACACAACTGAGAGAAAAATGAAAACAAGAAACAGTCACACACACTAAATAAGCAACACAGCACAGCCACAAGAGCTGGAATAATAATTAATTTAAATAAGTAACTGAAAGAAAAGCATCAGGAATAATTCTACCAGGGACAACCTACATTTGTTTGTGTCTGTGTGTGAGACTGTGTGTGAGACTGTGTGTGAGACTGTGTGTGTGTGTGTACATTTGTGTGCGCATAAGCCTGTTAAAGAGTGTAGTTGTTAGTGAGAGTGGGAGACGCCACGACTGTAACAGGCAGGCAAGAACCCCAGTAGCCAATAGAAGAAGAAAAAAATACAAAAAAAAATAAAAGACTCTCAGATGCACCACGATGCAAACGCGGAAGACCCCGACCCACCAACAGATGGGCCAAAAAATAAATACAAATAATAAAAACGACCATCCAAACGCAAGTGCAGCGCCCGGACCGACCGCGGCGCGCACACAACCTGGACCACCACCGCACAGCGAACAACCAAAACGCCCAAATGCCACGCAATCATCAACATCAATGCACAAGTGACGAGCCCAGTGCACTGCGCGAGCACGGCAACACCCAATGCCCGGCAGCCCCCCGCGAATCCCGTGTGCGAGGTCGGGCAAACGAGAGAGAGCAAACGGAACAACACGACAGCGAAAGCCAGTGGAGAGAAACACCAGCAGCAAGTCCCAGCCTGGCAGGTCACCGTGCACCCGCCAATAAAAGTCCGCCATCCCCCCCAACCTCTGGAAAAACTAAGGCCGCCCACGCCAGCCGACATCCCCCATGCACAGCACGCCCCCCGTCCGCCGTGCAACACCAGCCAAACCAGCAACGAGGCAAAATCAACCAGCTCAGCTGCATGCCACCACCAACCCACCCACCCACAGTCAGGGGCCGAGAACTCCAGGCACAAGCCCAGAATAAACCGGAGCACAGCCCTGCCCCGCACCACCACCAACTGGCCGACAGAGAAATGGGGTAGCATGGATCTGAGGCCAACAAAGCAAACCAGGGACACAAACTGGTCCCACCAAGCCAACGAGGAAATGCATCCCCCGGACTCCAATGCACAAACTAAACTCCCAGCAGCCATCCAGAGACCATGCACAGGGAAAAAGCACAATGCATCAAGATGCATCGACAATCGCCCTACAATCCCTAATTGCAAAGGACCCCAGACGGCATGTCCCGGGGGAAGCTGCACCCTGCCCCAAGGAAGAACAGCAGAAAGCAGTGCCGGGAATCTCCCCGCCACCAGGGAGAGATAATGCGGGAGAACCAGGCCCAGCCAGCGGCATCCCTCCCCAGAGTGCAGGCAGAGCCAGCTGCAATGTGTAAGATCTCTGAATGCATTGTTGATTTCTTCTGGGTTATAAGTCAGATTCCCAGCTGAGGAACTATTTTTTCTTTATTCAGTTTCAGTTGGCTGGTTAAGAATCTGCTGGATTTATTGCCATGTTCAAAGTTCTCCAAGCGCAGTCTTTGCAACTGAAATTGGGTCTTTTTATTAATAATTTCATTTAATTCAAGTTTTGATTTTCTCAGACCAAATCCATGACAACCCAGAGTTGAGACCAGGAAGCAGAGTTGCAGTCTAACACACTTCTCTGCTCCTCCATTTCAGGAGGTACTTAGTGAAAACCTATAGTGATGGTGTCTGCCCCCCGACCATCGAAATTATTTCAATCAAAGGTAAACAGAAGAGGAGCTGTGCATAAAAACTACTACTATATTAAAACCACAAGAGCAATAGTGCAAATGAATAGGAGAGTTAAATGTGGACTCTTAAACATCAGATCTCTCTCTTCTAAAGGTGTGCTAGTAAATGAACTAATATCAGATTATGATATTGATTTATTTGGTCTTACTGAAACCTGGCTGGGTGATGGAGAATATGTTAGCCTAAATGAATCCACCCCTCCCAGTCATATTAATACTCACATTCCTCGAGGCACAGGCCGAGGAGGTGGAGTTGCAGCTATCTTCGACTCTAGCCTATTAATCAGCTCTAAACCTAAACCAAACTATAACTCATTTGAAAGTCTTGTTCCCACCCAAGTTGGAAATCACTGCAACCAATTATTTTTGTTATAGTGTACCGAGCACCTGGCCCGTACTCTGAATTCTTATCTGAATTTGCAGAGTTTTTGTCAACTTTAGTCCTTAAAACAGACAAAGTTATTATTGTAGGGGATTTTAATATTCATGTGGACGTTGAGAATGACAGCTTCAGTACGCACCAGAGCACTGCGCTCCCAGAATGCACCTGTGGTTCCTAGAGTCTCCAAAAGTAGACTAGGAGCCAGAGCGTTCAGCTATCAAGCTCCTCTCCTGTGGAACCAGGTTCCAGTTTGGGTTCAGGAGGCAGACACCATCTCCACATTTAAGAGTAGGCTTAAGACTTTCCTCTTTGATAAAGCTTATAGTTAGGGCTGGCTCAGGTAGTCCTGAACCATCCCTTAGTTATGCTGCTATAGGCCTAGACTGCCGGGGGATTTCCCATGATGCACTGAGCTCCTCTCTCCTCTACTTTCTCTCCCTCTGTATGCAACCTTATCCCATTATTGCATGTTACTAACACAACTTCTCCCCTTTCTGGTAGTCTTGTGCTTTCTCGTCTCTCTCCTCTCTCCTCCTATCACTTCCTGCAGGTGTTTCTGGCTCTGGAGCTGTGGAGTCTGGATCTGTGGTTGCGGGTCACCTGCTGCCCCCGTGTTCCTGCTCGACACCCTCTGCTGCAACGACTATTGTTGCTAGTCCTATTGTTATTATTGTTATTATAATCATTAACATTACGATGGTTACCATTAACACTACTATAAATATCTGTACCATTTTTCATTTAGTCTATAGCAACATCACCTTTACTGTCTGTACCTCTGTGTGTATATTGTGTAGGCTGCCTCCCTCCCTCCCTCCCCTCTCTCTCCTTCCATCCCTCTCTTTTTCTCTCTGTTCCTCCCCTGCCTTCTTGCTCTCTCTTCTGCACTTTTGAGTTTGGTATCTGCCTTGGTATGTTGAGTTTTGGGTTCTGTCCTGTCTAGTGTCCAGTATCTGTTATATAGTCTGCTTGTCATGTCTAGTCTCTCTGTTTTCCTCTGCTCTCTCTCTGCCTCGTTAGTCTCATGTCTTTCACCTGTGTTGCTCCCGCCCTGCTCGTTAGTCCCTGTGTATATATACCTGGTGTTTCTGTCTTGTCCTTGTCCGGTCATTGTTCATGTTACCCCCCAGTCTGTCATGTGTGTACTCTCTGCCTGCCTGTAACTAGCCTTGCTTGTCTCGTCTCATCTCCCTGTACTTTTGGATTTCTGTTATTCAGCCACTCACCTGTAAGTGTGCTCGCTTTTGGTTATATTAAAACCCTTCGTTGAACTATACCTGCTCCGCTCTGTGACCTGCGTTTGGGTTCTCCAACCTGCCTCCACACCACGATCGTGACACTCTTAAAAGGAAGTTTTTCCTTGCCTCTGTCTCCTAGTGCTGCTCTTGGTGGGAACTGTTGGGCTTCTGTAAATAACATCACAGAGTACGGTCTAGACCTGCTCTTTTATGAAAAGCGCTGTGAGATAACTGTTGTTGTGATTTGGCGCTATATAAATAAAATTGAATTCTCCAATAAGCTTCTTTCTTATCCAGGATCCAGGATCTCTCAGGGAAACCGGTCATTAACACTGAAGTTGGTCCCTCTCAGCTCCCTGCCGCGGCCTTTAACCAGTTCCTTCTGCTTGTGTTCAAACTTTGCGACGATGGGTCTACGCTTCTGGTTCTCCTGTCGCCGTCCTTCAGTTGATTTTGGATGAAGCTTTTACAGCAGGGGCTAGCTCAAATAGTGGCATCGGCAGCTAACAGTGGCATTTCCGGTGGCAGCTTTAGATGCCGCGGCATCTGCCACTGATTCAATTCAAATACTCACTCATTCAAATAAACCTGGACCGAGAGAAATATGTTAGCAACAGTAGTTTATTATGCAATATATAATAATGTGCATTTCTTCATGTAAACAGCAAGAGTCAGGTTTAATGTACGCATTGTTTGGTGCAATACAGTTGGTAGTTTAACCGAGGTAATTATTGTGTGTGCGGAGTTGGTACTGTTAGCATTATACTTAATATTAAATTCATTTTTAATCTGGTTTTCATAGTAATAGATCTGTTTTGCATTTCTACCAGCAGGGGGCAGTATTTAAATGAATGTCTGGTTTGTGTCTCTGTTAACTGTTTTAAATCCAGGTTACTGATACAGATGTATTTATTGTTCTTCATTTCATTTGTTTTTTCATTATTAAGGATTAATTTGTAACTGAAACATGGAGAGCACAGCTATCTCACAATTTTGACAAGTCTCACATTTTTCTTCTCCATTTATAAGGTACAAGGTAAATTTAATCATCACGTTACAACAGGGTTGTAAAATGAAATGAAGTTATACACTCCACTGAGTGTACGACCATTGAGGTTCGATTGCGGAAAATGTTTGATTATAATACGTGTAAATAGTTTTCTTTTCTTTAAACATTAAGTTTAGAAAGGCAGTCCCTTGGGAAACCTGAGACGCCTCCTGGGGAACCACGCCCCAGGCAACAAAAGAGCGACACGCGAAAACGACAGTCAAGCCATTTCACTTCAAATTGACAACGGCCGTTTCACTTTAACAAGTAGTCTTATTTAGTCTTAAGTGTTACCGGACGTTGCGTTTTTATTATTGCTAACTTGACCGGATGTTGCAGATGTTTTGTTGCTAGCTTCACTGCGGAGCCCTACAGCCAAAAACGACGCCAAGGTGTCTTGACCTTGTTACTGGGGCACAGAGCATGAAGACTGGCGCTGCCTATGTCGCCAACTTTGGACCCAGCAGATATGGCTCCTGATGAACTTGTGGAGGCCTGCTGGCGCTCCAGATTAGGGTCCTTTAGCCTAGCCTGCATGTCTTTGGATGGTGGGAGGAAGCCGGAGAACCAGGAGAGAACCCACGGAGAACATGCAAATGCTTCGTATTTGTATAGCGCCTTTCTAGACCACTCAATGCGCTTTTACACTAATCACCACTCGGAAACTAACATTCATACACTGGCGGAACAAGGGGCAAATCGGGGTTCAGTATCTTGCCCAAGGACACTTCGACACACAACCAGGGGGAGCCAGGGATTGAACCGACCTTCCGATTAACGGCCAACCCGCTCTACCTCCTGAGCCACAGCCGCCTGACATGCAAACGCCACACAGAAAGGCCGGGGCAACCGGGGTTTATTGCATTATTTAATTAGGTTTTGCTGATAAACTGTCAACTGAGTGTATATTTTTGTGTAGACATTGCATTGTCTTAAGGCAAAGAGGGAGAACCACAGCAGTAATAGAAATTCTTTGGTAGAACCTTTATTTTGATTTAAGGTAAATAGAACCGCTCAGTTAAAGGGTTACTGAGTGGTTCACCGTTCTAACTTTGCTTACTTTATATTTCCTCTGCAGATCCAGATATGACATAAATCAGTGATTAAATTTACTACCATTCTATCCAGTACACCATTCTTCTCCCAATGTGTATTTAGGGTTAGAGTAAGGAGTATGACTCGTTTAAACATGACATTCTACAAGCTTTAAGCATTGTACTCCAGACACTCCTTCATTAAAACAGTATGGTGGTCTCTTCTGTAGTTATCCAATCCAATCTGGATGAGCTCTATCCCAATGATTTTAGCAGTTTGGTTGTCTCAGAAGGGAAGGGGAGGGATGGGGACAAAGACAAAAAGAAAAGAAAGCCTTTTAGTTTCCCTCTGATGTCCATTAAAAGAGAAACATATTTATTTTCACAAAATGCAGAAAAGACATCAAACATGGGTTGTCACTATTTTAGCTTTTAGCTTCCTCTTTACTGGAAATTAGCATCTTATTTTGAGACTTCAGCATGACGCTGAGCATGTATGACTATACACAGACAAAAGTCTCTAGAGACAAAGAAAAGGTCAAGCACAAGAGATGCAGAGATATACTGTAGGACTTATTAAAGAAATAAAGACAGTATCTCAAATAAAACATCTTTCTTACTTAACTTGTACTTTTGTAATATGAGCTCAGCAGTTAACGATTATCACTCTTAAAGCAAAGGCAAATCATTTTACTATATGGCCTGTTTCTGTGTCAGGCATTCAAACTGTTTCTATGAAGGCCCCCAAAGGCTTCCAGTGTCCTTTTCTTCACATGGATCTCATTCTCGCAACACAGATTACACGCCCTGTACACGGCAAATAAGTCTTGCAATTTTTTTCAAGCCATTAAATGTCGGGCCAGAATACAGTGAAATAATAATCTTACATCTTTATATTTACATGTGCCAGGTTTGTATTGCAGGGTTGTGTTTCATTCCAACATACTAGTTGATTATTTCTCATGCTCACAATATGGCATGTGCTGGAGTGTGTGTGTTCTGACGTTTGATCCGCATCCATCAACCTATAGATGCTTTTGTTTTAAGGTAGTTATGTTTAATCAAAGACAAAAATTAAGCTTTGTGATTTAAAGATTTCTGAACATATATTTTAAAGACGTCATCAGCTTCTGCAGAGGAAAAATCAGTAAAAGAAACATGCTGATAAGAAACATTCACAGTCAGCATGCTGATAAATGTGCTGACATCAGGACAAAGCGTTCAAACAACTAACATCTATGTCCACTTTATATTTCTGCAGAAAAACTTGAAACTGAATATTCACAAAAATAATGAGACAAAAAACTTGAAAACTAGAAAAAAAACAATTAAAAAAGTGGAGCAGAAAACAAATAAGGAACATATTTCTTTCTACAGAGTGAAAAGAATCTCTACGTCTGCACCCCGACATCCCAGCATCCTTTGCTCTTCTCTACATTCAGCCTCCTCTTCCTCCTATATTACAATAAACACATCAGGTTGGTACGAACATCCGCTGTGTGTGATTATGTACAGACTGAACTATCTGGTCAGCAGAGAGTTTCTCTAACAGGAGGAGACCCTCCCTCCTACAGAGAACACAGAGACACTGAACCACCAGACCCGTTACCCATACCAAACACAAACCCAGGATAAAGAGGTTCAGTGAATGTGGTGTTGAAGGTGTGGAGGTGGATCAGTGTGTCAGAGGAGACTCTGAAAAAGGACAGAGTGCCAGCAGGACAGTCCACATACACTGCTACTCTGCCAGAGGGGGAGGGGCAGGAGGCGGAAACGGAGAAGCCTCCTCCTTTGTTATTGTGAGAGGGAAAGTAATTCCCAGAGCACTCCAGACTCCAGGACTTGTCGTTTTTCCCAAACCTGCAGGCATTCCAGTCTCGATACTGATCTCCTTTCCTTCTGATTCCTCTGTAACTCACTGCTATTGAAACCCATGTTCTCCACTCGACCTCCCAGTAACAGCGACCAGTCAGACCTTCTCTACACAGCAGCTGATGGAAGCCAAACCTGTCAGGATGATCAGGATATGACTGATCCTCTGCCACACGTGTCGCCTTCCTGTTGTCTTCAGACAGTTTGATCTCTCTGTGTACTGTGTTTGTGTCAAATGTGAGTTCACAGGAATCTGATGGAGAGAATAGAGCTGCAGTTATTGATCTATCATCTGCTCACTGATTAACACTGATGATGACATCAGAGCTCTGAATGAGTGATGTCACAGTCTGAAGATGGTTGAATGTTTTCATGAATCAAATGAAAAACACACTTACACTTCCTTAGACCTGGTCTCAACCATCGGACTCCACCAGGCTCCACCCTGAAAGAAGGAGGGGGGTCAGACCAGCACATCCTCTTTCAGCATCAAACATGGACGTTACATCGCTCTCATACACATAAGTAAACTAAAATAACAAAAACACACACAGCCTATTTTATCTGTTGGAGCTTCAGCTCCTCACTCTGTGAACATCTGCTACATTGCTTCGTCTGATGTAACGATCATTATCTGATCATTATAATCAATTCCATGTGAAATAAACTAATAAATAATTCCATTCATTCCAGGAAAGGATTCTTTTAGCCAACGGCTACGAATCATTCCCTTTTCAGAAGAAACAACTATTTATCTGTTTATTTATTAATGTTCTAATTTATGTTCCAAATATGAGAGAACTCTATAAACAGAAAGATGACAAAGATAAACTTGTGTTTCTGTTGGTCTTTCCACATTAATCTTTCACCTACTGATGAGCTGTTTCTTTTCAGCCAAGGAGCATTTGTGTTTGATGATTCCAGCTGATGAGCAACTCTATATAAAGGAATTTTTGTGTCTTTTCAATGCAAGCAAAAAAAAAAGGTTTTGAGAGCATATTTATCGCACTGCAATCAAAAATCAAGTTTGTAATTAAAAAGGTCACAAAAAGTTTTTATTGCTAATTTCTCCTCTTTGATTGCAGTCAAAAAGTTTTCCTTGCAAATCATAAAATGTTGCAGGTTAAACCGTTTTGCAAGCAAGAGAGTTTTGCAAGTCGAAAAGTTTTGCGAGTAAAAAAAGGTCGAAATAAGACTTTCTATTGGTGAGATTAACTGACCAATCATGGGTTTTCATCGGCTGCATGGCCACGGCCACAATCCCCTCACTCTCCAGAGAGTGGAGTTATTATAGAAACACGTCCTAACTGTAAGTTTCAAAGACAGGAAAAGTCCTGTGTTCCTGTTACCGAGCTGATTCCTTAACTCATGCCGTGTCCTTCCTGTCTCAGACTTTGTACCTGAGATTAAGAAATCTTAACTAGAGCTGGAAACTGGATTCTTTAGTTGGCACTCACTCTGTCAGGCCTGTATCTGTTCAGAACACATACAAGACCACCTGTGTCCATGACAACGGCTGTCTCCCTGCACTCGTCACTGGCTGGCTGGCTAGCTAGCTGTGTTAATGGACATTAAAAACGCCACCTTTTTGGGAAGTTTTCTTCCAAATGATCGGCCCAGGGCAAAGAACAGACATAGCGCGCCAAATTCAAAATGATTTCAAACAGTAAGTTTATGTAACAAGGCACCGTGTTAATAAATACTGACCTGAGAATACACAGTGTACAGTGGGGAGTCTCCAGTGCAGCAGACAGCAGCTCCACTCCTGAATCCTGCAGGTCGTTGTTATTCAGGTCCAGCTCTATCAGACGAGAGGACTGGGAGCTGAGAACTGAGGACAGAGCTTCACAGCTTCTCTCTGAGAGGTTACATCTACTCAGTCTGAAGAGACAATGATGACAAATAACATTTGTGTTAGAATGAAATCACACTTGATACGATTATGATATGTAAGGGATAATACCCGACTGGCTCTACATGCCATGATGGTAATGGACAACACATTGGCTAAGAACCAGCCAATGGGAAGCAGACGGTGGTCAGCCATTCATGCACCCAGAACTAATTTTGATTTCCCTTTTGTGTGTCAAATATCATGAAATATAGTCCCTGGGCTTCTAAAGTCCATCAGCCTTCATTGCTAGGCAGAAAGTGGTTCATGAGGCTGGGCTCACACTGAGTTTTAAACTCCTAAAAAGTTCTGAAACCAGGATAGAAATTTACTGATTGTTCTCAGTCTGAAAAACATCGATCTCCCTGACTAAATGTGTGACTTCTACAAATCTCTAGATTTTCCCTTCTGAATTGGTGTCCTCTCCTCTTCTTTCCCTGAAGCTGTTCCTCAGACTTAGGCTACCAGCTTCACAGAACAAAACTTTATAAAATATGTTCATGGAAGGTTACATGATCTAAGAACTGATTAAACACAACTGGTTTGGAAATAATATGAGAAGAGAAAAAATATATGAGTGCATCCATTCATATAAATAAGAATTCAAATGTTCATTGTTGAACAGGTTGATAAATCCTGACCTGAGAGTTTCCAGTCTACAGTGTGGACTCTCCAGTCCAGCAGACAGCCGCAGCAGTCCTGAATCCTGCAGCTTGTTGTCACTCAGGTCCAGCTCCCTCAGATGGGAGGTGTTGGACTTCAGAACTGAGGCCACAACTTCACAATGAGTCTCTGAGAGTCCACAGCCAGAAAGTCTGTGATGACAGAATATAAACTTAGTATAAATAAGTATAATAAAATCTGACACTTTATGATAATAGACTGGCCATTTTGCACTACAAAGCACATTAACATGAGTGGCTTAAGTTAGCTAGTCAGTGCCATGGAAATAGTCTGCAAGCACTCACCACATAATGCTGAACATGCCATGGTCATGTACTGACACAGCTCAAACTCAACTACAACATCTGTTTTCTCTAAATATCTACATGGACTGTGTATTTACCTCACTTATGTTCTTGTGTGTTTTTTGCATGTTTGATGCATCTTATTATGTCACTGCATCTGCTTTTCATCTGCCATGTAATTAATTGAATCACTCCTATTGCAAGTCCTAAATATTGTGTTATTTTAATTTGATGGGTGATAGTTTTTCTCAGGTGGAGTTCAGTTGTTAACAGCATAATTTATTCTATAAACACTGAATAAGAGCAAAAAATATGAACTGACCTCAGAGTCTCCAGTCTGCAGTGTGGACTCTCCAGAAATCCACACAGCAGCTTCACTCCTGAATCCTGCAGCTTGTTGTCAGTCAGGTCCAGCTCTCTCAGATGGGAGGGGTTGGACTTCAGAGCTGAGGCCAGAGAAGCACAGCTGATCTCTGACAAACTGCAGTCCCTGAATCTGAATAAAGAATAAATGATGGAGATAAAAATCCATTTCTAATCCAATCAGATGTGTTCAGGTTTTAAATGTGGAGCTCAACATTACTATGTCCTGATCAATGAGCTTTTCCCAGAAATGAGTAGAGGGACTTTGTCATTGTGTTATTGTGGATCATCATAATGTCAGCACAACATTCATACACCTATTCATGTCAACACAGATCAATAACATGCTGCTGATCTCAGGCCAGTCTGGAATATTGATCAAATCAGACATGCTGTTGTTCTAATTCAATCAGGTGTCATTTTATGAAAAATAACTAAGAAAGAGCTTTTCTATAGAATTCCAAAATGGCCAATATGAAATAAATAAGACTTTCAGTACAACCCCAATTCCAGTGAAGTTGGGACATTGTGTTAAACGTAAATAAAACCAGAATATGTCATGAGTTGTAGTTTTTCCCTGTGAGTTTGAGTTTTTTGCCATTTGTTTCTGGTGTCCTTCTGTTTACCTGTTCTTCTCGTTTCCTTGTCCTTAGTGTTTATGTCTTGTCTGGTGTTCTAGCTCGTAGTCCTGTGTTGATTTGATATTGCTTTGAAGTTTGGTAGTCTACTTGTTATATTGTTTCTTAGTCACTGCCTTAACTCTTGTTCCTGCGTTTTAGTTCGTTGTCCTGGTTCCCAGTCCTGTACCTTAGTTCATGTTAAGTGTTCACTCGTCTTTTTCAGGGATGTCCCTGTGTGATCCTTGCATCATCTTGTCACAAGATCTCTGACGTAATTGCTGACGTAACCTGCACTCTGCGCATGCGTTGGCGTCTGTAGCCACCTGTCGGAAGCTCCGTCTTGAACCGGACTCTTATCCAGTTTTAATCCACTTTTTTCGTTACATTTTTTATATCCTTTTATTTAACTTAACTTTATTTAAGTTTTACGTGGGTTAAGGATTTTAGTCATCCGACATGGATCTTAAGATAGATGACCGTAAAAACGCGATCAACGCTACTGATCGCAACAAAGCTCCGGTGACTGTGCTAGCCGAGATAACTCTGCCCCATGAGGACTGCTCACTCCTTAAGAAAGCGAACAAGAAGATTGCTGACCTTATGGAAGACATCCGACGACTTTCAGAGGAACTCAAAGAGAAAGATTCCCTGCTGACTGGCTTTATGGATGTAGCTTCAGTACAAGCCAAACAGATTGTTTCTCTTAGCGCAACCGCTAACATCCAGGACACCGTGTTTTGGGACCTCTCTAGCCTTCCCAGGCTTTCATCCTGCTCGACTCCGAAGCATCAGTCAACCTGGGCTGAAGTGGTGGTCCGTGGCTGCAAGAGAGGCTCGGATGGGGCTGCCTCTCCTCCGCACATCGGCCTCTCCAACCGCTATGCAGCCTTGTCTAACGACACTCCGGTCCATCCAGCGGATGCACCTGCGGCTTCGAGTCTCCCTGATACGGATCTCTTTCGGCGCACAGTGCCTGCCGACACTGTTGCATCTCCTTCACCGGCTACATCTCCTGCACTGGGCCGCCGGTCTGCCGCCGGACTTGATCGGCGGCTGTCATCCCGGTGAAAAACCTCCGCTTCCCGACGTAGGATCCTGAAGGAGGCTGTGCTCAGACGCTCCGGAGGCCGTCTCTACCCTGCACCGTCGGGTAGCCCTTCTCTCAGGTCTGTTACTGCTACTCCAACACAACACTCGGCAGCTCACACACTCCATCCTCAGTCCGCACGCAGTGTTGAAGCAGATTCTGCTCAGTCCTGCTCTGGAACCACACAACCAGCATCTCCTCGTCCTCTTTTCTCCCCAACCACACTAATAATTGGTGACTCCATAACCAGAAACCTCCGTTTCTTTAACGCTACCACTCGCTGCTTCCCCGGTGCCACCACGGCTGACATTTAAAAAAAACTCCAGGACCTGATGCCGTCGCTCCCGTCCTCCATCACAAGAGTGATAGTCCATGTGGGAACAAATGACACAGCTCTGCAGCAGTCTGAGCTGACAAAATCAGATTTTAACCGTCTTCTTAACTTTTTAAAGCAGTGTGGAAAGTCCGTTTTTATCTCTGGTCCCATTCCCACAGTCGGTCGCGGTGCTGGCCGCTTCAGTAGACTCCTTGGCCTCCACGACTGGCTCCAGTCCGCCTGCAGGGCTCACCGTGTGTTTTATGTGGATAATTTTAATATTTTCTGGCAAAGAATGTCTCTTTTTAAGACAGACGGACTTCACCCAAACAAACGGGGCTCAGAAATGTTAGCTGCGCACATACAGCATGTGGTGCGGTCCACACATGACTTACGTGAATGACTAATCATTCATGCAGCACACCTGGACACACCACCGCTCACTGAACAGATCTCTGCCTCACTGCCACAAACAACTGTCTCCACCTGCTGGCATGTAAAGCCGTCTGCTCCCAGCGCTGTTCCACAGACTTCTATTCCTGTCATCATCACGCATAGACCAGTAAACCGAAATGTGCACATCCCACACAGAAATAATAGTAATCTCTTAAGGATTAGGACAACTGCACCAACTCCAGCACCTAGAACAAACTCATTTAAAATGGCTCTCTTCAATGTGAGATCACTGTCAAGTAAGACTTTTATCTTAAATGATTTTATCTTGTCTGCAAATCTAGATTTTATGTTTTTAACTGAATCCTGGTTGCAGATGAATGACTATAGCCAGCTAGCTGAACTGTGTCCGCCTCAATATGATTGTTTTAGTCAACCGAGGGTCAGTGGTCGTGGTGGTGGGCTAGTGAGCGTGTATAGGAAAAATTTAAAATGTCATCAAGTACGCTGTGATGAATTTAGCTCCTTTGAAGTTCTCACTCTTAAAGTTGGAGGGCTGCATCATATTTGTTATAATTTATCGCCCCCCAAAACCGCCTGGAGTATTTTTATCAGAACGTCCTGAATTTTTATCTAATCTGGTTTTAAATTATGACAGAATTGTTCTTTGTGGCGATTTTAATATTCATGTTGATGACCCCACCAATGTTAATGCAACTGACTTTTTAAATATGGCCACTTCTTTTAACTTCAAACAACATGTCAAAGGGCAAACACATAACCGTGGTCATACACTGGACTTGGTTTTTACCCTGGGTGTCAGCATTTCCTCTGTGGAATTAGTGGACATGACCATATCTGACCACAGATGTATTGTTTTTAGCTGCGATTCGCCTGTTACTCATGCCGCCTCACCAAGCTCCGTGTGTTGTCGCATCTTTAATGAACAAAGTGTTTCAAAGTTTTGCGCAGTCTTTCACAGCCAAAGCCAACACCTGTCTGATTCCAACACCAACAATCTGGTTGATCACTTCAATCATATCTGCTTGTCGTCACTAAATATTACTGCTCCTCTAAAGGTTAGGCCTACGTCTAAAGCTAGTAAGCAACCCTGGATAAATGACAGCATTCGCAGCCTCAAAAGGGAATGCAGGAAAGCAGAGCGCAGATGGAAAAAATCCAGTCTCCAAGTCCATTACCTCAGTCTGAAGGATTTATTAATTAACTACAATAAAATGGTTAAGGATGCGAGAACACACTATTTTTCTGAAGTCATTACTACACATAAACACAATCCCAGGTTTCTGTTTAAGACTGTGGATCAGCTGGTAAACCCAACCCCTCCTTGTGCCTCAGCTGGAAGTAATGATGACTGTGAATTGTTTTTATCTTATTTTACCAATAAGGTGGTGTCAATCAGAGCCTCTATTACCCCCGTGGCCTCTTACTCAGAGGTTCCTCACCAGCAACAACAGAGTTTTAACCAGTTTTATCCCATCGACTTGTCTGAGCTTTTAAAAACATATCACAAATGAGAGTGTCCTCCGGCCCACTTGATATAATACCTACAAAATTTTTACTGAAAGTAATAGATTCTGTTGGGCCCCATTTGATCTCCGTTTTCAACAGCTCCCTATCTACTGGTTGTGTCCCTGATTATTTTAAAACGGCTTGCGTGAACCCACTTTTAAAGAAACCTGGTTTAGATCCCTCCCTCCCACAAAATTTTAGACCAATTTCAAAACTGCCTTTTATTGCAAAGATTCTAGAAAGAATTGTGTCCAAACAGCTGCTCACTGTGCTGGAAAATAACAAAATATTTGAAAAGTTTCAGTCTGGTTTTAGGAAGTACCACAGCACTGAGACTGCCCTGCTTAAAGTCACCAATGACCTTTTAATGTCTGCTGATGAAGGCATGTGCTCAGTCCTGGTACTCCTGGACCTTAGCGCTGCTTTTGACACCATTGATCACAACATCATGTTAGACAGACTGAGGCACTGGGTGGGGATCTCTGGTACTGCCCTAGAATGGTTTTCATCCTACCTGTCAAATAGGAAGTTTTGTGTGTCTGTAAACAACTATGTCTCTTCATTCTGTCCAGTTAAATATGGTGTGCCTCAGGGGTCGGTCTTAGGACCCATTTTGTTTTCCTTGTATCTGCTTCCCCTTGGACATATTATCCATAAACATGGCATTTCTTTTCATATTTATGCTGATGACACACAAATATACTTGCCCGTCAGATCCACAGACCCTGGAATGCTGAGTTCACTTAACAACTGCCTTTGTGAAGTTAAAAAATGGATGTCAAATAATTTCCTCCAGCTGAACTCAGACAAAACAGAAATCCTGGTCATCGGGTCCCAGCAGATGGCAAATCAAATACTGCCATCTGCTGGTTCCCTAGTAAATCACATTAAGCCTGTGGCAAAGAACCTTGGTGTTTGGTTTGATAGTAATTTAAATTTCGAGCAGCACACCACAAAGCTTGTTCAATCATGTTTTTATCAACTTAGAAATATAGCTAAAATTCGATCTATGTTAACTTTTAAGGACACCGAGACCATTTTACACGCCTTCATCTCATCACGCCTGGATTATTGCAACAGCCTTTTCACCTGTTTAACCCAAAAATCTATTGATCGACTCCAGACTGTCCAGAACTCAGCTGCCAGGCTTTTAACCAGAACAAAGAAATATGACCACATTACTCCTA